GAGGATCGCGTCCAGACTGGCGCTTTTCTCCGGCTTATCTACAAGCCAGAAAAAAGCGGCAGCCATGTTAATGCAAATGCCGCGGGGGATATTTAAATCCCCCGCGGATTTGCCTATTCCAAAGTGCTATATTTGCATCCCTATTACGGAATAGGGGCCAATGTAGACACAGCCTATGTGTTTATTCAGTACTAGATAGCATGTCAATGCTGCACAAACACAAAAACATCTTTACTAGATATATGTTTACAAGATATTTACTAAACCCATTGTTTCTTAAAAATCAGTTAAAATTGGAGTAAAGAGAATTAGAATAAAAACAGACAAAGGGAACGACAAATGTGCATTTACCCTGTCAGGGACAGGACCTGATCATGTAACCCCTTTCTCATGTGAGTAATCCTGATTCATAGGAGTAGTCCCAATGATCTTAATGGGAGGGAGGGAGAGAAGGTGTGTGTATATACACGTGTACTAACTCACATGAGAGACAGATTGCCTGACAGAGTCTGTAATCCTGACATACGTAAGACATCCTTTCCAGGCTGTTCATAAACCATAATACAGATATCACAAAAAGAGATAAATTGTTCACATTACAATACAGGATTACTACCCTCCAGGCGTACTTTTTTGTTTAGAATTTCATTTTCTGTTCTTTATAAGTTGTTTTCAAGAAAATAGAAATAATAATACTTCACTTAAGTACTCTTCATATTATGTAAACAGAAGAGACAATACTATCCAACACCTTTGTATTTTATTTCAACCTTTCTTAGGGACTTTCTTAGGCTGATGTAACCTCAATACACAGTTAACAATTTTGTATGGTAAATGCAGCAATCCCATTAAAAAGTAGTGGAGCAATACAGAATCATGATATGTAAAATAGAAGCAAAGTGGGTGTTTTGAAGGCTATGGGAGAACAGCATTAAACCATTCACTAGGCAGCAGCAAGATTTAGACTGTAGGAAGAAAAACCTCTTTAGAGAAAATTATATGTTTACAACTTTATGCCTTTTGGGGCTGATCCAAAGTCCACTGAATCAAGTGTCAACGTGTCCATCAGCTTCAAATGAGCTTTGGGTCAGACACTTAGGCTATGTCTACACTACCAGGTTATTTCAAAATAACAACTCCCGAAATAGCTATTTTGAAATAAGCTTATTCCTCTTCACAAGCAGGAATTATTAGTTTGAAATAACAAGCCAATTATTTCAAAATGACAGGTTTGGCAGTGTGGACGCTTGCCTTGTTATTTCAAAATAAGGGGAGTTATTTCAAAATAACTCCCTTGTGTAGACATGCCCTTGAAGAGGAAAAAGAGAGAAATTACTATGAATTTATGCTCAAGTCTACAGTGCAAATGACATTGTCAAATGTCTTAATTTCTCCCCTCCCCTATATTTGGGAGTTTCATCTATTACAGAAAAAACATTTTTGTCACTTTATCAACTACATGGTTTGTGCCCATAGGAATTTATAGAAAGATTTACATCTCACAAGATCTGCCATTTTAGGATGGTATAGACAGTATTTTTATATCATTACTCAAAAAAAGTAAACAAAACTGTATGGAAAGCAGAGGAACTAAAGGAATGGGAATTCCAAGTCTCCATGGCAAGGTTGCACTAAAAATATGTAAGTGGTATAAAAATGCTGCACAGAAAAATGGAACAACTTAATGTAAAAACCTTAGCGTCTTTGAGATTTGTAAAAATAATTAAAATGAGCCATTTCAGGCTTTACTGAATCTCCCTTGTGCTGCATAGACTGTATCTAATTAGGCTTTTCCAAAGTGAGTAAAAAGCAGACAAAAATGAAATTTAAAGTGGAAAATGGGAGCAAACACCTAAGTGCTCAACAATAACAAATTACTCCAATAGCAAAATGCATTTGCTGTTCATTTTTCTTACCTGGCTGGATATTAGGATTTGGCGCAGTTCTTTCTTAAGATCAATAAACCGATCATGATAGATGGCCATGGACCAAGGTTCCCTGAAATAGCTGGTTGAAAAAGAAGAAATTTAGTTATCCAGTGAACCTCTCATTAACCACTAATAAAGTATTTACCTGCTTTTTGGCTTTTATAAATTACAGTTCTGGACCCATCATGATCGTTTGTTCATAAAATGCCTCCCGTAACAACATGGTCAATCAATTCTTTTAATGGATGTTCCTGATGTACAGCCAGCTTCAGTAATTACATTTAAAGTGGCTTAATTCAGAGCTGTGGCAAGACCCAGTGAAGAATCCTGATTTTATCAGAATTTAAAAGCCTGAAGACCTGTAAAGAACGGTGTCTCCATTATCTGTCCTCATTTGAGAAAAGCAGATTGCAGGATTAACTGAACTCCTGCATAAACAAATTAAATTTGTGTAGACAATGACACAAATGTTGTTCATCATTAAGGTTTCTGGATTAATAAAGGCCAGAAAAACAGGCCACCACAGCGTTGCAATATGTTCTTTCCACTAGTGCACTGAAGTCAAATTGAATCTGTTCTATGAGGAACTCTCTTAACATTTATGTTATGTCTACTGACAGAAAGCATTCATTACACATTTTTCTGTGAAAAGTTAGAAAAATGAAAGTATCTATTGTAATGGCATAATGAGATATTATAATTAGATGCAATGCATGCAGCTTGAGACAACTGGAGGACAAACTGCTCTTTATTTCCATTTCCTATATAATGAAACATAATTGTTGTGCTGTTATTAATCTGTAGATTAAGCAGAGAATATACCTTGCGTTATGTGTGCATGCCAGTCTCATTAATGTTAATGGGACTCAAAATGATCCACTGGAGAAAGAATAGGACCAAAAGAATCGGTGTGACTTATTAGAAAAATGGGCATCAGATAAATAATCTGATCCTGCAAACATTTATGCAAATCCTTAACTTTGTTTATGTCAAAGTCATCTCACTTAGATCAGGGGGTCTAGCGAAGAGCATAAAGTTACGTATGTGCATGTTTGCCAGATTATGGAATCCTTAGACATTAACAGTGTAATTGGAAGCTGGTAGTCTATTCACATCAGTGGGATTGCTCTAATGAATGCGCAATATTGCATGTGTAACTCTGATGGTATTTGGTCTAATGTCCTTTCAATAAATATATTTATTTTTAGAATAAAACGTTAAGGAGAATTTCCACAGAAAACCATCATTCAGTTGCTTTCTAAAAGGATAAAACTTTTATAAATTTTGATTTGTGATATATCCCATCAGCAACTTTTCTATAAATAAAAACTACATTGGACTTCAAATATTAATGAATCAGTGAATACTGCAGCATGTTACTAACAGAACTCTGCCAATTGTTCACCATCATCTTCCACTTGTATTTCTTTAGGTAGGTAAAGGCTTATCTCTTTTGTGTTTGTACAGCACCCAGCACCATCAGGCCCCAAACAGAATGAAGGATGTTTCCACAATACATATATTTAGTGCCACTGCTACTCACCTTTATATTTCCATATTGACAGACATAGGAGCATCTTGCTATACACTGCCTGAACATTACCAAGACTGATTTCATCTCTATTTTGGGGTCTGAAATCTTACAGAAGCTGAACACAGCTCCAAGGGCTGCTTTAAAAATGTACTTTAAAATATATTTATTGTATCCCAATAAGATAGATACATACCTACATAAAAATGAACAATTTCCCAAAATATTTAAACAACTTAACTCATCTCAATTTTTTTCATTTAATGTCAATGTCAAAGAAACGTAAGATGGGAAAAGAAAAAATATACCAAGATGTATATACTTAAATATATAAGATAAATATACTTAAGACAGAAACACCTTTCTAACAACCATATTTAGTTTTAGTCTCTCAAGATACAACACATATTCCATTAAAGTTAAGTTTAATAATGAAAAAGATTCACTTGAAGCCAACCAACAAGTTGACTTTCTGCAGCTCATTTTAAATTTTATTACCACTTCAACAGTAGTCCCTAAGGGCAAGCTGTAGAAAGCCTGAAAGTATAATGCTCTTCAGTGTACAAGATGAACCTGGCATGCTCCCAACAGAGGCTCAGAGGCTCCCCAAATATCATGAGAACAGCATCTGCCACATGTGTTTGCACCATTTAGTTTTTCATAACCTGCCAAAATGATCAAGCTAAATATGTAGATGACGACAATGTTTGCCAGGGGCATAACTGATTTTAAAAACTTGGTCACTTCTTGAGGGGGACCCCCTGCTGGCAGACTTTTATATCTACAGAAGCTTTCATTGGAAGGCACTTGTAACTAGATGGGATGAAATGGTCTCCTTTTGAAGACAATATCTGACATCCTTTTTGTTGCTAGGAAGCTGTCCTCTCCTTTCACTGACAAACAATAATAAAGTCTGTTCTGCCTCATCTGTGATGTGTAAGCCTATATTAGATGAAGGGGAGAAAAAAAAGGAAATCATGTAGTTATATCCTATGCAAAAGGAGTTCAATCTTTTTAATTTAAAGGGGGCACTGGTTAAAAATGAGCAGATAAAGTTGTCCAACTCCAAGAAATAAAAATGTGCTGTCTGAAATCTGCATGTAAATGTATTCCCATCCAAAACACAACTATTTTTATTCTCCACTCTTATTTAGTGTACTGCTATACACCATTTTCAAAGGACAATGTTTTTTAATTCTGAAACAGCAGTAATTTTCTGATGTGTATGGGCATTCTTAAAAACAGAACACTGACCCTTGGCCACACTTGCAGTACTTTCATCCACACTATCCCAGATAAAGATCTCTCCTTGGATGGGAACATGTAACAAAACCAAAAAACCCTAAAGATTCTGAAAGTTGAGAGGTACTTTTATACTGAGAATGCCAAGCTCAGCACCCACAACAAGAAATAATTAAATAAAGGGTTACTAAGAACTTTATCACATCAGAAAAATTCCATGACAACTGTACAATGGGCAACAGTAGTGAATAATGAAAAAGGGAATAGGATTCTCGACAGAGTCCACATTGTGCCCGATACAGGTTATCGGCCATTTAGGCATATTCCTATAAAGGAATGGCACTCATTTTTACCACCCACTGAAGCACTGAAAGCTGAGCCTCCTTTCAGGAAAATTAAACCAATTCACCTCACCTACGTCTCACCACAAGTTGTTACAGAGCTACTAAAAATGTGTAGTTGTGCAGAGCAGATAGTATAACGTTGTCAAGTTTTATGATTTTTATCATGGATTTTGTGATAGTTTGTTTCTCTTTGGGTGTGTCTAGACTACAGGGTTTTTTCGAAAAAAAGTGGCTTTTTTTTAGAAAAAACTTCCCCTGCGTCTAGACTGCTGCCGCGTTCTTTCGAAAGTACATTGAAAGAACTCAGCAGTTTTTTCGACTGCAGAAAACCTCATTACGAGGAAGAACTCCTTTTTTTTGAAAGTGCTCTTTCAAAAAAAGGTGCTATGTAATGCAAACTGTGCTTTTACGAAAGAGAGCATCCAGACTGCTTGGGTGCTCTCTTTCAAAAAAGCAATTTGCTTTTTTGAAAGTACTGGTTGTAGTCTAGATACTCTTTTTCGAAAGAGGCTTTCGAAAGAGGCTTGCAGTCTAGATGTAGCCTTTGTCTCAGATATTGGACTCCCATTATTGTGGAAGAATCTTTGCTTTCATTAACCAAGTAAATAAATATTTAAAAAAGGAACATAGCCATCATAGTTGTAGAGAAAAAAGTTTGAAAATAAGACCCAAGTGTAATAGAAAGACTTTAAAAAGGTAAACAAAAAGAATCCAACATTTATTACATTTTAAAATCTCATGATTTGTAAGAATCTCTTTCTGTGTGTATTCCCTGACTTATCATTTCTTAATATTGATGTAAGACTATGTAGATTTTCTTAATATGTCATAGCCTCTCCTTTTCCACACACTGCAATGAACAGTGGTATATTTAACAGCATTGATATTTCTGTCATCACTGGCATCTGAGTTAGCACTGATTGTAATGAATGCGGCAGTTCAGACTTCAGAGCTATAGTTTCAGGTGCCCTGGCAAACACTGCTGCACTTGGGTCATGCTTACAAGGTTTTCTTCACACCCACAACAGATAAAAATGTATTTAGAAAAAAGCAAGCAAGCAGAGATCTGGAGGACAGCTGAGAGGCTCCTTTGTCCTTCACCTGGCTTGTCCCCACCGCAAAGCTGGCTTGTCTTTGGGGTGCAACTTACATTTTGGGAACTGCTGTCTTAATCATGCATTAAACTATCCAGGAAAAATCTCTTTTGCTGGTGAGTTTATTAAATGGTCTGAATTTTGTGTCTGTTGAGACAGATTTTTGTTTCTAGCATGGAATCATGTTAATATAAACAAATGTGGACAACAACCAGCATAGATCAATACTATGAAATTTCCACCACTATTTTGCCTTATGGTTATGCAATTCTTTTGGCTCTGCGCTGAGCTGAAACCACAGACCGTGTTGTGGTGACGGATGGTGGCTTTTCAAACGTATAAAAGGTAGTTAGGCTCTCAGTTCCCACTTAGAATCAATGGGATCAGGGCAACTAGTTTGAAAAATCTGTACACCGGTTACCAGTCTGCTTACAACCAGCGTGATTTATCCATGGTAATACGAGAGACTTCTCTTGGAGTTCTGCTGTCTACTTTAAAAAAACCTTTTATATCAGTGGCAATAAACAAGCTAAATTAAAGAACAAGTCTCTGTTACGTACTTATTCCCACTCTCCTCTTCCCAGCATCCCACATGCAACCAATTCTCTTTATCTTAGAATACCAACAAATTTATCCAACAGGACAAATTTGTCTGAGTGTATTCGGGTGTTATAATTCACTCTCTAAAGCCCAATCCCCCCTGTCCTGGGTGGCAAGGCCAAAGCCAAAGCCCAAGGACTTTATTCCCATGCAGGGGCCTGTAACCTGAGCCCCACTAGACAGGCTACTGCGCTTGGCCTTTGACTCCAGTCCCAGATGGTGTGTGTGGGGGGGAGGGGTCTGCAGCTGACTTTGGGATCCTGATCTA